TTTGGTTTTTTTGAGACAGGGTCTCATTATGTAGTTGAGACTGACCTAGAACTCACTATGTAGCCCAGGCTGGTCTCGAACTCACAGCCATCCTCCTGCCTCAGCCTCCCAAGTGCTGGGATTACAGGCATGTGCCACGACGCCCGGCTTGTTTTTACTTCTTGTCTGGAACATTTCTCCACCCTTACATCATCTTTAATTAACACCTGGCATATCTGTCAGTGTTCAGTCATGAACTCTTCCAGGAAGTTATGTGTGACCCTCACTGTGTTTGTTGGGGATCTTGTTCAAGCATCAAAGCTACAACTGCATATCCCTAGAAGTACTAAGATAATTATTACTATTTGTCCTCACTATTTTATTCATACCCAACCACACTTTTATACATTGAGACCACTTTCCACAAGAATAAATCCAATAAAATGATGGTAAAATATAAATAAGATAAACTACCCAGAAAAAGGAAAATAAAGATACCAGCTAAGGGCCGGGATTTAGCTCAGTGGTCTGCTGCTTGCCTTACAAGTGCAAGGTCCTGAGTTTGATCTCCAATACCAAAAAAAAAAAAAAACACCATACCAGCTGAGATCAGTTGGGTCAGGGATGGGGAAATACACAAAGGTTACAAATGTTCTGGCTTTATACAGGTCAGTAAATAGTTAAGCTTCATAGTTGGCTCTGTAAGTGACCTGGCAGCCAGAATGAGGGGAAACAGTTATGTAATTGTCATCAGAGAGGAAGAAACACTCAAATTTTAATTTCTAAAAGAAACAAGCAGTTTCATGTAGATGTTACCAAATGATATATACAGGATTCCATAGGAAAGCAGTGAAGGGTTTCACACAACTGTTAAGATGTTCTTCAATGAAATTAGTACAATCTAAACATGGATTTTAAGGCAGTTCTTCAAGGACTTAATATAATCTAAGTATATGGCCTTCATTATTCAGCTGAGTTCAAGGACTTCCATGTAGGTATGCAGGTTGCATATCTTTCAGATAAATTTTTACCTATTATTTCCCTCAAAAAGGCTCCTCAGGAATAGATAATAGTATTGAATTTTCAAGTAAGGGCTGGGGATGTAGCTCAGTGGCATAGTGTCTTCCTGGCGAGTACATAGACCTGAGTTTAATTCCTGGTACAAAAAAAAAAAAGAATTTTCTAGTAAGAACCTGGGTTTTGTGGGTTGTTTATTAAAGGGTCTCTGCCACTGAATAATTCTAAAGTTAGTAAATATTTTACTCTCCTTTGTCTCCACAGTTCCTGATATAATATTGCTAAATATTTATTGCATAAATAACTGTAATTAGATACTGCTGGTGTTCTGAGATTGGTATTTAAAGTATATTTTACTGTATCAACTGTACAGAAAACAGCAGAATTCTATCTAGACCAGAATTTCTTAAAAGTGACAGTGTGAGAGACTAAATCTTTGCTCTGGGAGATTTTCCTGTGTGCTGTAGATCAGCAATATCTTAACCTCTACCTGGTGGATGCCAGTAGATACCAGTCATAATGATTAAAAATATCTCCAGACATTTCCAAGGGACTGATGGAGAAGAACTTTGCCTCTATTTGAGACCCATTAATGTAGACTCATCCCTAAGGACTCAAAAGGGAATGATCAGGACAGCTTCAGAATTTCTTTTTTCACCAAGCATGATGGTACATGCCTACAAGCCCAACATTCTGGGACACTTGGGCAGGAGGATGGCAAGTTTGAGCCCAGCCTGGGCAATTAGCAACTTATGACCCTACTCAGAATTTAAAAAGCAAAAAAGGGAGACCCTTCAACCTTCTGGCATGGACCCTTGAGCCTCCTGATTCAGACTCGTACAGGACACTACATGGCACTCCAGTATAAAACTCAAAATGGGGATGTGGGTATAGCTCAGTACAAAGGCCCTGGGATCAGGCCCCAATTCTGCAAAAAGAAAAAAATCTTTTACCATATTTTTATTTGTTCAGTTAAACCATGAATATTTAGTTGGGTACTAAGAAAAACATTAAGGTGTAAAGTGCATTTAAAGTGTGACAAAGGAATATGATGAGGCAGGTGTGGAAATGTAATAAATTGATTTTTTAAAATTAAAGACTATAACTGAATTTTCAGCATAAAGAAAATTAGGTATGGCTCACCACTAAAAAATGTTACTAAAGTGATCCCAAGTATTGGAACTTTTAGGAAATTAAGTTCTACTTGGCTGCTTTGTGCAATGTAAAAGGCATACTTAGAGTATAATACTATTTTGGAAAGTGTACTTTTAAAATGATCTCAACGAAGAACTTCTATAGTTTGGGTTTACTAATTTATAAAAATAATGACCAAAGCTCAAATGTCCCATAAAGTTAATTCTTTAATATTTCTTGCCCTTGGGAATGAACTCTAGCTTCCACACATGTGGTTTGCTGGTATATTATAAATCTGTGGTTTATCTTTTACAATTCATAAGCATTGCTGATAGTTTGTCTAAGAAAAATGGCCTAACGTCAACCTTTTGTGTGTGTGTGTGGTACCAGGGATCAAACTCAAGACCTTGTGCTTGCCTACTGAGCTAAATCCCTGGCCCTGTGTCAGCCTTGGTTGATAAGTAAGTGACATATAACTCACATAATGAGTGCCCAGAAGGACAGTGTATTTTGGAACATTACAGAAGCCATCATTTTGCATGGTTACTGACCATTATTTTATTGTATGAACCAGTGATTGTTATGTTTCCATTCCTCCTTGTTTTGAATTGCAGTTCTATTACAATTATTCTGTCTCTTTCTCAGATATTGGGTGTTTGAAGAAGAGAAGACACATGACTTGTTTTCTTAGTTACAGGTTTCCATACTGAGAGGTGCTGCACCCTAGGATTCATCCACATCCTATCTGTAGCTCACGATCCTGGACTTCAAGCCAGCATGATACAGTGAGGCAAGGTTTTTGGGGTAGGGCTTTAAACTATGGTCAGAGTGCAGCAAAAGAAACAAATGACAGTGAAAAATTCTGGCCTCGTCCTTTTTCAGTAATAACTGGGAGTGCAGGACTGGGGAGTTAGCTCAGTGGTTCCACAACCTGCCTCGCAAGCACAAGGACCCGAGTTCAATCCCCGGTACCAAAAAAAAAAAAAATAATAATAATAATCATTGGAATACAGTGTTAGTACTGCAAGGGTGAAGACAATTGGGCTAAGGGGAAGGGATGGTTTGGAAGGAGGCTGCATGGAAGTCCTAGAGAGAAGCAAAAAAAGATGAAAATTCATTACACATTGCCCATGAGAGCCCATACTCTGTTTCTGTGGCCTTATAGCATTGATTATGCAAGATAATGCAAAGGAGTCAAGATTAGATTCCAAAGATAGCATTAACCTCTAGTCATAGCAATAGTGCAATGAGGAAGGTGCGGTGGGGAGAATCTGAGATAAGACAGACCTGGGTTTACATTTCTGTTCTACCACTTACTGGTATGCGAATTTAGGTAAACATTTAATACCAGATGGGTGGTGTCTTAAATCCTTTTTCTTTTCTTTTCTTTTTTTTTTTTCTTTTAACCTTTTCACTACTGGAAATTGAACTTGGCACCTTCTCACTGAGCTACAACTCCAAACCTTTAATTTTTTATTTTAAACAAGGTCTTGCTGAGTTCCTCAGGATAGCCTCAAACTTGCCATCTTCCTGACTCAGTCTCCCAAATAAGGTGGGATTACAAGTGTGTATGCCACTGTGTTTGGCTTTATTGTTTGTTCTTGTATGTTGCTTTGGGAGTATGTAATGAAGGTGTTTGTCAGTGACTGTCTCTCATGTAAAAGGAAGTTGTTCTAGAATTTTCTCTGCGGGCTTCATTAAAAAAAAAATCACTCAGAACCAACTTCTTCTATTGTAGTAAACTTTGTAGTTTATTTGTCACTATACTTGGTAAAAGAAAAACTTTCAGACAAGCACCGTGAGAGGTAATGGCTTTTCTTAGTTGGAAATATATGGAACCACAGAGTTCTTGGAGCTTTCATTCTGTATCCTTAGCCATGTTTCAAAAACAACTTAGAAACGCAATCTTAAAAATTCTGCCACCCCTTCTGATGTTAGAGGTTTGAAAACTATGTGGTAGCAACTTAAATTTCCTTTGTCTCTAGAGAGAATGAGTGATATGTAATAACAAATGAAGATGTCCCATAGCTACAAAGCAATTTTTTTTGGTACCAGGGATCGAACTCGGACCTTGCACTTGCGAGGCAGGCAACGGAACCAGAGCTAAATCCCTGGCAAAAGCAACTTAATTTTTTTTTTTTTTTTTTTGAGACAGGGCTTCACTATGTAGTTGAGACTGAACTGGAACTCACTATGTAGCCCAGGCTGGTCTTGAACTCACAGTGATCCTCCTGCCTCAGCCTCCCGAGTGCGGGATTACAGGTGTGCGCCACCACGCCCGGCTAGCAATTTAGTTTTTATTCTTGGCCTAAAAGCAATTTATAAACATTTTTTAAATTAATACTTTTTTCTGGACATGATGGTACATGTCTGTGATCCTAGCACTTGGGAAGCTGAGGCAGGAGGATTGTGAGTTTGAGGCCAGCCTGGGTTACATAGTGAGACCCTGTCTCAAGAAACAAAAACCCCAAAACAACCAAAACTAAAACCGTTTTAAATAAAGAATTTTACCTGGAGTGGTGGTGCATGCCTGTAATACCTGCTCTTAGGAGGCTGAGGCAGGATTGCCGTAAATTTGAGGCCAGCTTGAACTACGTAGCAAGACCCTGTCTCAAAAAACAAACAAAACAAAAACAGAATTTTAGATTCACAGTAAAACTAAGAGGAAAGTACAGAGATTTCCCATATGGCCTCTGTCCCCATATATGCATGGCTTCCCCTCATTAACGTCCCCAGCTAAAGTGATACATTCATTATAACTGATGAACTTACCTCATCATTTATTTATCATCCAAAGTACAGTTACCCAAATTCCACCATATGTTTTCATAGTTTAATAATTCATTTCTTTTTAGTGCTTACTAATATCCCATTGTCAGTGTATACCATAGTTTATCCATTCATCTGCTCATGGGCAACTTGGTTGCCTCCACATTTCGATAATTATAATGACCCTTTCATAAATGTCCACGTGCAGGTTTTTGTATAGACATAAACTTTCATCCTTTTAGGCAAATACTGAGGAGTACAATTACCAGATCATATGGTGAAGCAATTGCCTTATGTTTAGTTTTATACAAAACTGCCAAATTAGCTGGGGATGGTGGTACACACCTGTAATCCTAGCACTCTCAAAGGCTGAAGTAGGAGGATCACAAAACCCGTCTCAAAAAATAAAAAATGTTGGGGATATAGCTCAGGGCAAAGGCCCTACTGGGTTCAATCTCTAGTACTAAAAAATAAAACAAACAAAATAACCCTGCCAGTTGTCTGGCAAAGTAACTGCTGTTTTATATTCCTACCACTGATGAAGGAGAGTTCCTGTTGCCTCAAATCCTTATCAGCCTTTGGTATCATCAGTGTTCTGGATTTTGTCCATTCTAATAAGTGTGTGATAGTCACTTTTTAAAAGAGTAGAGCAGAACACAGAAGATTGGTTCTGATTATTTTGCAATATAGAAATTCCATTCTAGCTGGGCACAGTGGCACATGCTTGTAATCCCAGCACCTGGGAGGCTGAGGCAGGTGGATCACCACGAGTTCCAAGGCCAGCCTGAACTACAAAGTGAGATCCTGTCTCAAAAAACCCAAAACATAAAATCAAATAATGAAAAGGAGAATATAGCTCAGTGGGAAGGCCCTAGATTCTACTGCCACACTGCAGGACAAAAGTACACACTTAACAAAGAGTGCAGGCCCTCCAGGGGTGGGGTGCAGTATAGTAGGGATGGGGATATTTTATGTGGTCTGGGGTATCCTCAGGACAGATGATCTGGGATGTTTATCTTTTGAGTTATTTATCTTTACCTAGTGTCTGTGTCCTTATTTCAAGCTGTTTTTTAGAGGGCTAAAGCAAAAACTGGCTTTATCAGCCAGGGACGGTGGCACATGCCGGTATTCCCAGCACTCAAGAGGCTGAGGCAGGAGGATCACTGTGAGTTGGAGGCCAACCTGGGCCGCATAGTGAGTTCAAGGCGAGTCTGGACTACAAAGTGAGACCCTGTCTCAAAAAACAAACAAACAAAAAACAACTGGCTTTATCAACCAGGTTACATGCAAACCATATGTATATGTATGTATTTGAAATTTGGAGACTGTTTCTTTGAGAGTAGAAGTCTTTTGAATTTATATATGAGAAGAAAAATACAGCCCATATATATGCACTTGCTATATCTTTAAGACCCTTAGGGTTTAGGAGTAAAGAACCTGAAAGAAAAACAGGCCTATGGGGGAAATAAAAAGAATTGTAACCTTGGGTAAGTTTGATTGTGTTTCAAGCTGCAGTTATCTCAAAATTACAATTTCAAGAGGCTGGGGATTTAGCTCAGAGGTTCGGTGGCCTGCCTTGTAAGCTCAAGGACCCGACTGACCCCGGTACCAAAAAAAAAAAAAAAAAAAAAATTACAATTTCAAAATTACAGTCTCCTTGTCTCCTTTTAACCTATCTTTATTTCCATTGTGCTACCTCACTTCTATCTCAAATGGTCCTATTTCTCCCTTCTTGCTTAATGACTCACAATTTATCCTTCCGCCCACATTCAGACGTTCTAAAGAAGCTTTCACAATCCCTGTAAGTATTCTTCCCTATTATACTCGCATAGCACAAGTATCTCAAAAGCATAAGAAATTCCTGGATTTGTGATTTATCAATTAATAGCTCAGTCACTGTGTAAGATTGTGGCAAATAAGTACCATAGTGAGAAGTTGAATGCTGACATATTGTAACTTCAAAACTTTCCTTTTAAATTACACCATACACAGAACCTAACAGGAAGTGTTTGTTTATTTATTTATTTATTTATTGCACCAGGGATCGAACTCTGGTCCTTGCGCTTGTGCTTGTGAGGCAGGCAGCGGAACCACTGAGATAAATCCCCGGCCCCAGGAAGTATTTCTTAATGAAATTACCCCAGAGACTCTTCCTCGACTTGATTTCAGTTCTAAATTGGCTACGCAAGAATACAAGTTATTCATTAGCAATATATACTGGCTAGGGTGTGGTTCCGAGATAAGGAACTGAAAGTCTTCAACCTGTCTCCTTAGTTCTGTGTCAGTAAGCTCTTGAGACAAGTCCCATTTTTCTGAACAAGTATTTTTAAGGAAATCTGATGGGAAAACAATTCGAGGACTACACGTCCGATTAGGGAAGTTTACAAGAGTTAGACTCATCTGCTAGTTTACCAGTATTTCTGCCTTCCTGTTGAGCTAAATTGCTTGTTTTGTGGAAGAGCAAAACCCAGCAGCAAACATCTGAAATGAAGAGGAGTCCTCGAACTTTTGAGGAGCAAACAGAATGCATCATCAACACTTTACTCACGGACTTATTGAGCCCAAGAGTAGGGGTCACTAATCGGAACCTATGCGGTGTAGATGAACCAGACTCAGGTAAAGTTCTTGGCCTGTTCTCAAATCAGTACGAGAACATGGGTATGCTTACTTTATTTCCTCTTGACTTTAGAAAGCCAAATCTTAGCTTTTAGCCACACCTGAAGAGAAAGAGATTCTCATTAAAGGGAGATTTTTGACTATTGGTGACTGTTGATGTCGAATGATGACTACCAAAGTTCTTGGGACACAACGGTGCCAAAATTGTTTATCAGACAAGAGTATTTTCCCTTGTTCAGGTTCCTGAGAATTTCCATCCCTTGGAGCATTGTGACAAGTGTGTTTCCTCTGTCTTAGGAGAGGCTTCCTCTTTTGATGAAGCTGTCATTGTTGGACGACTTCGGATGATAGGTGACCAGTTCAAAAGTGAGATAGAAACTTCTGCCGGTAATGTCATCGCAGCGACGACTGGGGGACAGGTGAGGTTTTTACCTCTTGTATTGTTTGCTGCTCTTTCCTATTTCATGCTTCCTTTTCTTCCTACTTCTATGTACTGTATGAATGTTCTGTGAGAAGTTTGGGATCTTATATTCAGCAGGAAATGTGAACTGCCTCTTCTTATAGGAGTTGATCAAAACGGGAATGACAACTTTTAGCTTTGTTCCACTTGGTTTTCCTAGGGCCAGGGATTTGGCTCAGAGGCTCCGCCGCCAGCCTCCACTTGGTATTCCTCAGAGCTGTGCTTAGTAAGCACAGAGAACTTTATTCTTGGCAAAGTATCTTTTGTGCATGTTTCAATACTTACTCTGTTGACAGTAAGTATCTTCCTCCCCACAACCCCCAGGATTCAGCAATGAAGTAGATGCAGAAAGGATGAGCAGTCTACAAGGGTGACACAGCTAGGGATAAGCCTTGGCTAAGCCCACTGGTGTTTCATCAGAGTCCTGATTACCAGTAGTAACACTTGGATTCTTTATTTATATTAAGAGCATAAGACAGTATTCTAGATATTGCAGATTAATATCAACAAGGTCAGCTAATATTAACTCACCATTTAGTATACGTGCCATTAGTATCTCACTTAATCATTACACCTCTGAGTGAATTATTACAGAAACTGTTATCCCAAGAGCAATCTCACTCCAGCTGCAGATCTGAGAGCCAGCATCTGTTTTGTTCACTACTGTATGCGTGTAACCTTGAACAGCACCTGACATACAACAGACCCTCAGGAAATACTTCCTGACTTGATACCATGTAAGCAGAAAAGGAAACAGGCATAGGGAAACAAGTAAATAGGTCAGCTAGGATTTAAACAAAGACCGATCCTAGAAGCACATCTTACCCGCGTGCTTTACTCTTCCGACTGAACACAGGTGGAGTGGACGCCACTCTGCCTTCAGGCAGAACTGGATCTGTTACTCCCAGCTGCTTGTGCTGAGGCTCTCCTACGTAACAGGTCGCTGAGTCTATTTTTTTCTTTCTTATTAAAAAAAAAAAGTTGAAACAGCTTCAAACTCATAGAAAAGTTACAAGGATAGAAGGAAGAATTTATCTTGTGAATCGTTTGAGGAGAAGTAACTGACGTGATATTTTGTCACTCCATAATACTTTTTAATATTTTCCTTTTCTTATATATAGCCACAATCTAACAAGACCAGGAAATTGACATGGTATATTATCTTGTAATGCTTAGATCACACTCAAATTTTGCCACTTATCCCAATAATATCATTTATAGCAAAACGATCTAGGCCAGAGTCACATATTACATTTGATTACTATGTCCTTTTAGTATCCTTCAGTCTGGAATAGAAATTCAGATGTGTTAGGTACACCTAACTCCAACTCCACACAAGGAGGGTAAACATTATGTAATACAACGTAAACTAATAAAAACAAAGAAAAAGTAATGTTTTTTAAAAAAACTATATAAATATCTCATAATTAATTAAAATTTCAATCTGTTCATTTCTATGTCAGTATAGTCCTATACATTCCTATTTTATTTGATGGGTGATCTGTTACCATCATTATTATTTAGATGCTCAAATAGTTTCATATTTAGCTGGAGTCTTTATTTCTTTTTAATCAGGACTGTCTTTTTGATGTATCTGTATCATGTATTTTTGTTTGTTTGTTTGTTTTTGTGTTTTTGGTACCGGGGATCAAACTCAGGCCCTTGTCTTGCGAGGCAGGCAGCAGAACCACCGAGCCAAATCCCCGGCCCTTGTATCATGTTTTGAGTTTTGAGTATTGCCTGTTCTTTTGGATTGGAGATTGAACCCAAGACCTTCACACTGAACTACATCCCCACCTCCACTTGTTTTTTTGTTTATTTTTTAAGACAAGATCTTGTCAAATTTCTTTTTCTTTTCCTCATTGAGTTTATTGGTACATTTTAGGTATACAGTACAGTTCCATTCATCATTGGGAAGGAGCCTGTTAAATTTCAAATTTGGATCCCTCTGCCTTAACCTCCCAGAGTCCTAGAATTACAGGCATGCTCCATCGTGCTGGCTTGAGTAGTTCCTTTATTTCTTTCCTTTTTGAAAATGAGAATATTTTATGTCACAATTCTTTCGCTGCTGCTTTTTATTTTCCTTTCCCCTCCTCTCTCTCCCATCTTCCTCCATCCTCACATTTTCTTCCCATCTCTATATAGATTATCTCCCTGTTTGCTATCATCTGACCTTTATTTTGCTCTTTAAAGTATTCTTACTTTGGGCTTCCCAAATAAGAGAAAATATACAATATTGAACTTCCTGTGTCTGATCTATTTCTTTTAACATGATGGTCTTCAGGTATATCCGTTTTTTTACAAATGCTTCCTTAATTCCTCTCCCCGCTTTCACCCCCGTGGAACTCAGGACCTTGCACGTCTGAGGCAGGTGTGGTGCCACTGAGCTAAATCCCTGGCCCTGCTTCCTACTTCCTTAATTTCTAACAGAAGATCTTGTCCTTTTCCATGCTCACAGAAGCTCTAGTTTCCTTGGATGAAAGAATAGTGTTTAGAAACTAAGACCTAGGTGCTTTCCCATGTGGACTCCCTTCTCAGCTTGTTTGAATTTTGACTCCCTGCTCTGACCACTCTTTGCCCCCTACATTCGAGAAGGTCTTTGTTGGCCTCATTTAAGAGCTTTTGGACCAAGTCGTTTACAGAGGGAAAGAGGAAAAACATAGAGTTAATGTTTTTTCTTATTTAATTCGTAAAGTATTGCTTTCTCTGTGAATATTATCTTTTTTTTTCATTGAGTTTATTGGTACTTTTTAAGTATACAGTACAGTTACATTCATCATTGGGATCTTGTACCTTATACGACAGATCTTGGTTCTCATTTTTTTTCCCCCGCACCCCTGCCCTCCCTTTGCCTGCTCCTGGCATAGAGCTAATTTTTAAAAGAGTTTCTTAGACATTTGCTACTTGTGGAAGTAATCTCTTTACAATCTGACCCATTATGTTAACATATACTTCATGTTTTTCTTTCACATCATTTTGTTTTTCTTTCATCTTGTTCATCCTAAGCAGTAATATCTGAAATCACGGATTTTATGGGCTAGCTACACATTTTTATAATACTTATTAAAATAACAATATTACAGTGAGAAATATTCATCCACCTACCACCTGATATTACCTCAGGTCCATCTGCAATTCCTTGGACAACGCTTGTTTCTGGATTCCTGAACTGCAGCCTCCTATACTCTTTGAGTGCTACTTTACTGATACATCCTTTCTCTCTCCTCAGGCAGGAGCTGTGCTCCAGCACACAGTGCACTCTCTCTGCCAGGCCTGGTGTACGCAGGATTCCAGCCTCGCTTATGAGAAAGCCTTTCTGGGAGTGTCAGTAAAACTTCTGGAATGTGTGGCCCGTGTGGCTCCTGAAGTGGTAAAACAGGTGGCTGTGACAGTGATAGATACGATCAACAGGAACAGAGCCATCTGTGAGTTCATCCAGGGCCTGGGAGGATGGGTAAGTGTGTGGAGCCCCCGGCTTTGCCAGACATTTGCACTCAGGTGGTAATACCTGGGACTCGACTTTATGACCCCTCGTGCAAGTAGGAAACCAACCAGGGAAACAGATGGCCCTAATTTGCAGGATGTTGTTGCCATGGAAGAGGTGAATAGACAGAAGCTCACCCTGTGGGGTTTGGATTCCAAGGTCATGCTGCCTAAAATGTTTACGGACTAAAGTGAATTCTCACTTCCTCTGTCATGATTACTGCTGGTGAAATTCTGATCTTAGCCTGGCTGAACTCTCCTTCTTGGTAAATTTCTGGGTCTTCTTTCCTTGTAGTCCATAGGTGTGTGTTGAGAAAGTTCAGAATCGTCTTAATGTTCCCTAACGAAAAGCAGTTTGTCTCATCTGGTAGTGGTAACAGGAGGAAGCATTCTAAACCCCCAAGTCTCAGCAATTGTTAGAACTTCTGCTGCCTAAGAGTATTCCTCACCATATCTAGGATCAGTGGGAGCTTTAGTATACGTGCTGCCGAAGCAAGCACAGGCAGGCACTTTAGTAAGAGCTACATTCTCTGAAGGTACCTGCAGATTATTCCTGATTTCTAAAAACCACCCCTTTGACTGTAGGATTTTTATCATTTCCCTAGGAAAATCTGGAGAGCTGAAGACATTTAATTATTCTTGACTGAGCTTCACTTCTTTGATCAGCTGATTAATTTCTAACAGTTAAACAGACAAATTTAAAAACCACTGTACTGCCGGGTGTGGTGGCGCACGCCTGTAATCCCACCACTCCAGAGGCTGAGGCAGGAGGATCACTTTGAGTTCAAGACCAGCCTGGGCTACATAGTTCCAGGTCAGTCTCAAAAAACCAAAATAAATAAATTAATTAAATAAATAAAAACCTCTGTACTTGGCTGAATAAATTATTTCCTGCTGATAAAATTGGAAACAGTTCCCTGAAGCCTACATTTTATACTTTCTGTTTTTACATAAATTTTAATAAAGTTTTGTTGAAACAAAAACATCCAGACATAATATAATGATTTATTTGTGAAATTCCAGGCAACAACCAGGTCTTTGCTGGAGATATTGTGGAGAAAACAGAACACGAAAAACTATTCCTCTAGGTTTAACTTTGTCCTTTTGATAAGGATCTTATCCATTAATTTTGCAATCTGAAGAATTTTGGGGAGATTTTTGGTTGAAATTTTGTTATTTCAAGTTAAGGATTTTCTTTCAGATTCATCCCTAACTTTCATGTTAATTTCATCTAAACTGAATTTATTTCATGCAGTATTGAGGTTGGAAACCCAAAGTAGCAAAATTTGCAGAATCTACCATTCTTTCTCTCCTTTCCTTTCCTTTTTTTTCCCCCCTGTGGTACCATGGATTGATCTCAGGACCTTGTACTTGCCAGGCAGGCACTGTGCCACTGCCTGTTATCTACCTTTCTACAAAGGCTAAAGATTAAAGTTACTATACTTTTATTGCCACAGGATGTGGGAAGTACTGGACAGTATCTAGGACACCCAGCTTAGCTGAAGCTGGCTGCACACCTCAGAGCTTTTCAAAGTAAAGTTCACGTACCACTTGGACTTTTTTAAACTGCTGATCTCCAGGCCTTGTTTCTAGCAATACTGATTCTGTAGGGGCCGGCTGGGGCCTAGGAAACCACCTTTTCAACCCTGTGTGCAATTTGGATGCACGTAAAGTTTGAAAATCATCACTTTAGACAAATTACAGACCACAAGCCAAATCTGGCTTGCTAGCTTTGTATGTAAACCAAGCTTTCCTGGAACATTTCACTGTCCATGCACTGTCCATGGCTGCTTTCTCACTACAGTAGCTGCATTGAGTTGTTTTGACAGATACTATGTAGTCCATCAAAAGTAAAATATTTGCTAGTCGGCTCTTTATGAAAATAGTTTGCTGATCCCTGCTCTAAAGCTAACGTTTATTTCTCCTTGCATAATTTCAAACCATCCTTACAATTCCTATAAACACCATTGTAAATAGGATTTAAACTCCAAGACACTTAACTCTTAAAAAGTTACTTTGGAAGTATTTTTCTACACCAGGCAAACGGGTGAAGCAGCTATGGCTTGAGTGTTGTGTTTCGCTGGGCCACCCTATTTTAGGAAAGCTTAAGTGAGTGGGCTGCTGAAGAAGGCACTGTAGCTGAGAGATGAAGAATGCATTCAGATTGCCTTTTAACAGTTTAGGTTTTCTTTGTTTGTTTGTTTGTTTTTAAGGCAGGGTCTCACTATGTAGTTGAGACTGACCTGGAACTCACTATGTAGCCCAGGCTGGTTTTGAACCTACAGCGATCCTCCTGCCTCAGCCTCCCGAGTGCTGGGATTACAACAGTTTAGCTTCTTTCACCACAGGCTAATTATGTGACATCCAGGCAAGTGACCTAATTCTTTTGTGCCTTAGTTTCCACAACTATAAAACAGAGATTTGTTTTGCTTTGCTTTGTTTTTTGCAATGTGGTTCAGCCTGGCCTTTAACTCACTGTGTTGTCCAGAAACACATGGCAATCCTCCTACCTCAGCCTCCCAAATGGTGGGATAATAGGTGTGGGCCTCTATGTCCAGTTTAAAACAGATTTTTGTAACCTCTTCCTGCTACATTTGTAAGGGATAAATGAAACATATTTTGTAAAAGGGTTAGACCAGTGCAAGATTCTTGCTTGATTTTTCTTCTCTACTAATTCTGTCTCTCACAGAGGCAAGTCAATCTTATGGCTTTCATGTCACCTCAATGCACTTGATTCCTACATATGGTTTCTTTCCTTTCTCCTCAAATCCACATCCACAAACTCTTATCTAATTGCTTATTTCTGTGTGTCCTTCTTATTCCTCACTCTTCCATTTTGCCCATCCAACAAGTTCAAAACCTCATTTTTGTCTTTTTCCTTTCTCCATTCTCAACCATCTAATTAGTCTTTCTCCTTTGTCCTGACTCTTCCTGCCAGATTTTATCACAACTTGCCCTGTGACTGGTTAAGCCTTCTACTTATGCTTTCAGTTCATTGTCCTGTTGCTGTCCTGTTCCTGCCCAATTTCAGTTTGTCCTATCCACTGCCACCAGATAGATAAAAGCTGTGGTTTGATTTATTTTTCCCGTGGTGTAATTCATTTTTGAATTTAACATACTACTGAAAGATTATGAGATATAAATGAATTTAAAGGGTGGGGCATTTATTTCTTTTTTTAATCTAGAAACACTTTCGAAAAGCACTGCTTTGATCACCATGCTCTTAAAATCCTCAAGTGGAACTATTGAGGGTGACTGAATATGTTCATCATCTTAGTTGTGGTGATGGTTTCATGGGTAAAGGTACATCCCAACACTTACCAAATTGTATACTTTAACATGTGTGGCTTCCTGTGTGTCATATCTTAATAAAGTTGCTTTAAAATGTTCCCCAGTGATTGGTTTTTTGCTTTGTTTTGTTTTGGGTACTGGGGATCGAACTCAGGTCCTTGCGCTTGCGAGGCAGGTGGAGGAACCACTAAGCTAAATCCCCAGCCCTACTTTAAAATGTTCCATGGCTTCCTATTTTCCATTAAATAAAGTCAGCCTGGAACTCAAATTCCCCAGGGTCTGACCCACGGCTACCCTTACTAGGCTTAGAAATCATGATTCCTCTCTACAAAAACCAATGTGTTGGTAAAGCTGAACCATTCACTGGAACTAAAATTCTCCTACTGCTATTTTTTATTTTTATTTATTTATTTTTATCTTTTTTTTTGGCTTTTTGAGACAGGGTCTCACTACGTAGTTGAGACTGACCAGGAACTCACTATGTAGCCTAGGCTGTTCTTGAACTCACAACGATCCTTCTGCCTCAGCCTCTGAGTGCTGGGATTACAGGCGTGCGCCACCACGCCCGGCCTACTGCTATTTTTTATATCGCTTTTTCTCATTGCTACTATGGACATCTTTAAGACCCAATTTGATTGTTACTTCCTCCATTAAGGCTATCTAGATAAGCTGGAAAAATTTGATCTTTGCTTCCTCAAACTTTTTTTTTTAACATGTTTTCTTTGGTTCTTATCACAAATAGCCTTAGACTGTAGATGTGCATTTCTTGTTTCTATAGAAAGAAAGGATCCTTGACTGATACAGTTTGTGAACATTTATGAAGCACATCTCTTCATCACTTTTTTGTCACTAAGTGACTAAGTGATTGAAATGAGAGACCAGATTTGGTTATATTTTGAACAAGATGACAAGCTTTACTGAGTCTTGATTCTTTTTTTTTTTTTTTTTTTTTTTTGAGGTAAATTGTTTCAATTGTAATTTATCAGTTAGCCTTTGCCTCTCATCATGCTGAAACCAAAGGGAGAGTACAGCTCCCTGTGTGGTGTGTGGCAAGGACTGTGGAGTCTTCGGTGGGTAAATTGAAGAGCGTGGTGAGGTCTCAGAATGGTTTAGTGACAAGAAGCAGAGTGGAAGCTGGGGATTTAGCTCAGTGGTTCTACCACCTGCCTTGCAAGTGCAAGGACCTGAGTTCAATCCCTGGTACAAAAAAAAAAAAAAAAAAAGGCAAAGTGGAGGATGAATAAGACTGTCTTACTATGGACAATGCAAAAACATGCCAAATGGAGCAAGCTTCATGAGGTATTATGTAAGCCTTTTCTGTATCTATTTATAAAAGGAGAGACAAGTCTATTCTGAAGGTAAAGGAGGTCAGTCATGGCCTTTCTGAGCTGGACTCCGAACCTCAGGAGGAACACCATTCCCTCTCATAACAACAGCCTGGCTGCTTGGGCAACCCCATCAGGGAAGTACTCTCTGCCAGGTACCTCGGCCTCCCTATAATAGGAGCAGCCCATCTGCTCCTGACAGAGTGATGGTGCCTAAGCCAGACCAGAAGCACACACTGTGCACTGAGCTAGGCGAGAGACCTGGAATAATTGATGCACCGAATAACCAACTCAGTGCATTTCTCACCAAAGCATAACCATATTATATAGCACACTTTATCACAACAGACTTATTTTAGGTATGTTCACGTTAACCACTGTCGGTTATACAAATGCGTAGATTACGGTACCATTGCCTTTGATAAATCTAAAACTAAAGGGCATTTTACATATCCTCTTTGGAAAAACTGCTCTTAAATAAACTTGTGGGAAACAAGGAACATGTGAAAGAAACTATGAAAAATGTTCTATAGCCACATGTAAAGATTTATATTGTAGGACTTCAGACTAGGAAAAGGTCATGATCAGACAGTTAGGGGCAAGAGATTTGAAGGAAAAATTTTCATCCTGGTGAAAATTAGGGGTAAAGGTGAAAAGGAGAGTTTTGATGCCAAGCTGAGGGATCTCGATTTGTTCCCATAGCCTATTGGTAAGGATTTTGTTGTTGTTGTTTTGGTACCAGCGATTGAACTCAGGCCCTTGTGCTTGTGAGGCAGGCGCTGGAACCACTGAGCTAAATCCCCGGCCCTATTGGTAAGTATTTTGGTTGTTTAGAATTAAAGTGAGATTTAAAAAATTTTTCATCCAGTTGTGGTTGACAGAAGATACAGAACGGAAGATATATAGAGATAGGTCATTTAAGAATACGTTACCACTGGAAAACATTAAAATGGGAATGGTGGCTAACATGGGAATGGAAAAGATAGGTTGAATCTAAAAGACATTGAAGAGAAAGGATCAATAGTCCCTGGTCATCGAGAGAATGCTTACAGAAGACGGCTGCACAGATGACCCACAGAGCCTGTATTAAATCAATGGCCGCCGGACGTGGAGGTGCGCGCCTGTGATCCCAGCACTCAAGAGGCAGAGGTAGGAGAGTCGACCTACAGAGTAAGACCCTCCCTCAAATATAGAACAAAACAAAACAATAAAAAAAATCATTGACCCTGGCATGTAGGAAGAGGTGAGAAAGTGAAACTATAGCTAAGAATGGATAAGCAACTTTGGGAACAACATGCCTTCCTACAGAGATGTTCTGAGAATCCGGAGTGTTTTTCCTATGGCTAATTTATCTTTCCCAAATAATAGTTCCTGAAATCCTTAATGTTTTTATCGTCCAATGCCTAACCCGTGACACTGCTGTCTCCCTGTAGAACTGGCACATTCCCCTCCTGTTGGAGCAGGACGGCTGCTGTTCTTCCTTCTGAACACAAGGGGCGCCAGTGAGGCGCGGCTTTGTCCTCACTCCTCCAGGCCCTCACCTACAACTTCGCTCCTTCCTAAAGCTCACCCTTGATGGTTTTGGCAAAGTGTCTGTGACTCTTACTGCGTGGAATCGTTGTGTTCACTTATGATTTATGCTGGACTGGTTTACATGTTTCATCGTAAATTCTTAAATTCCTTTAGTTAGTTGCCAGCACAACTTGTTTCCCCTTCCCAGCTTTTGATCTTCCCATGAGATACAAATGAGTCAACGCTGTGTTCATTGAAAAGCACTACGCTATTGCTGTCCAGTATCTGCAGACGGAAATGTGACAAGTGAAGTAGTAGCTTAGATTTGTTAAAAATAAAGTTGAAGTTTCTTTGCTTTCTCCTTCAGTTTGTTTTGTGCTCTGAGTGGTCTCCTCAGGAAATGTCCTTGTAGATAAGTGGGTTTTTGAGGTTTAGTTATTTTACAAGTTTTCTATATCTTTTGGTTTTACAGTACAACAAACACCTAAGAAAATTGTGTCTTGCTTTTTTAAAAAAATATGACCTTAATTACAGAAACTTAGCTTTTTTTTTTTTCCTTTTTATTAAGTTTATTGGTACATTCTAGGTAGACAGTACAGTTACATTCATTACTGGGATCTTGTACCTTTACATGACAGGTCTTGGTTCTCATTTTTTCCCCTTGTCCCTGCCCTCCCTTTACCCCCTCCTCCTCTCCCCATTTACAAACACTGAATTTCCATTTTTTCATTTTCTCATATTTTTTTCTTTTCCCTTATTCCCTTTCCCCTAGAACCTTAGCTTTTAGATTAAAATCACTCAAGCACCATTTAAGAAAGTCTCCCCCCATTCCTATTTATTTCTATCCCCTTCCTTAAGAGACCAAATAAGAGGTGGTTTTGAAATATGGGCTTGATGACTGAAGTTTCATTTTATGAGGCATTTTTTGCCTAACTAATAATACAGAATTAACAAAGTTCTGGATATTTATTTATTTTTGCAGTTTTGAGGATTGAACCCCATGACTTCAAACTGAGCCACACCCCAGCCCTTTGTTTTAATTTGATGTAATTTAATTTAATTTCGAGCCAAATTCTCAGCTTGTCATTAACTTGCCCAGGCTGGGTTCCAACATGCTATTCTCCTGTCTCAGCCTCCCAGGGTGCTGGGATTACAGGTGTGCACCACCATGACTGGCTATTAAAGTTCTGTTTTTGATGGAGGTGAGGACATTCCAAGGAGACAGAGAGATTAGAAAACTGTGGCTTTTGCTTGTCCAGATACAGAAAATCATTTTCCTTATAGGATTATGCTTTGCTATTCTGAAAATAAGCAAGTAAGTTTGAAGTATTTTAATTTTTATCAGTAATCAAGTCTATATCTTTAGTTTGAGATTTTCTTTGTTGTTTGTTTGTTTGTTTTGAGGCAGGGTCTCCCTTTGTAGTTCAGGCAGGCCCTGAGCTCATTATGTAGCCCAGGCTGGCCTCCAACTCTTGGTGATACTCCTGCCTCAGCCTTTTGAGTGCTAGAATTACAGGTGTGTGCCACCATCCTCAGCATGTGAAATGCTTTTCTTTTTTTAACTAGTTCAGGATGTTTTTCACCAGAATCATGATTTCCTGAAGGAGTTTGAATAATGTCTCAAAAACAGAAAGGATTACTAATGTCCTAAATAGAGGAAGTCCAAACAATGCATTCCCAGTTTTTTTCAGTTCCATTAGACAAATTTTGTTAACATATTTTTCACTGAACTTCTACCGTCAAACAAAAATAATGTGCTGATTTGGGGATGTTGGTGGATTTGTATCCACAGAAGAGAAAATTTATGCAAGAAGAGACGTGGAAGTTTTTCCTAGAACAGCCTTCCTGTTCAGACCAAAATGTCACATGCACAGGATGGCTTTCTGAAACAGTATTTTTCACAAAACAAATTGCAAAGTAAAAATATCTCTGATAGAAACCATTCTTCAGGTTTTTTTGCGGGGGGCTTGTTTGGTTTTTGTTTTTTTGTTTTAGATGAGGCACCTCTGAGTTGTCCAGGATAGCTTGAAGGCTCAAGCAATCCTCCTCCTTCAGCTTCCTACGTAGCTGGGAGTATAGGTGTGCAGTTCTCTTCAGGCTTTCTGACCTGGAAGTTATTCTGTTGTCAGCAAGATAGATGATTTACTTCCTTTTTGTTGATATACAGTTTGCCAGTGTCACGATCCAAGGATAGTAGGCTGACTGCCGTCAGGTGCTGTTGGCGGGGCCAGCTTCTCCTGATCCTATACAGAGCAGCAGCACCCTTGGTCTTTCAGAACCCAACTGAAGCTCGACTGCACTTCCCTTAATGGTGATCAGCATTTCTCCAGTCCCCAGAGACACAGACTGTTAGAAGCAGCTGACTTGGCTTCATCAAAAAAGAATTTGAGGTCTATAAGGCAGACTAAAAAGTTCAGGATAAGCTGGACATGGGAGCGTATGATCAGGAATCTGAAGCAAGAATATCATAAGTTCGAGGCCAGGCTGAGAAACTTGGCCAGAACCCGTCTCAAAAATTTTTGTTGTTTGTTTCTGAACAGTTAGAATGTAGATCAGTGGTAGAGCAATAGTGTAGCAAGTACAATGACTTACATTCAACCCCACTACCACAAAGGGGAAAAAAAAACCCAACCGTTTTGAAAAAAAAAAATGCCTTCTCTGATGGACAGAAATTTGCCATTCCTCCTGCTGACAAGAAACTTTGGGGAGAACAGTCTGGGTAGAAGCTGTAAAACTCCAGCATCTCTCTCCTTTTCTGGGCCTAACTGCACTTTGCACAGTTCATCTGGGACCCAGGAAACTGTGTCATTGACAGGGCTTTTGTGCTCACTAGGGAACTGGGGAGAGGCAGAATTTATCCCTGAGACCTGTAATTCTATCTGTGTGAATTTTGCTTAAAGGCGATGGAGTGGAATAGTCTCACAGGTCAGGCAGACTGCACTGCATTATTTTGGTTAGCCTTTTGTTTGTTAAAAAAACTTGAATTATACCAGGTTTCTTTGTTGAGAAGGAAGGCGCTAGGGCCCTGGAGTGAGCTGATGGCTTTGTTGTGTGACCACAGAGGCTGGTTTCGTACTAATTTCCTCTAGGGCTTGTGATGAAGTCAGTAAACCACAGGCTTCAGCATGCTGTGCTCAGCGGCAACAGTGGCTTTGGTGTCGTCTCGGCCATGACACACATTTCACATGCCCTCCCGCAACCCGCTCACAGACTGTTTCTCTTGCTCTGCAGCATGGACCAACGAAAAATTCTGCAGAAGTTCCTGGATGAGGCCCAAAACAAGAACATTAACAAAGAGAAGTTTGCGAATGAATTTCTGGTGAGTCCTCTGTGTATGATACGCTTGGAGTAGCTGCAGACACCAGCTACAGTGGTCTCTCTCTCCTGGACCAACTAGCTCTTGGGATAAAGTGACTATTAGACCTTGAAGAAAGCAAACAAAATTTGATTTCTCTGAGCATATTTGAGAGTATTTTAGGTGTTTTCTCAAAAATGCTGGTTTTAATATTTTGTTTGTAGGACTTCAGGAGTTTGACTAGGAATCCTATGGTAGACATACACAACTCCAGATTAATATTAAATATTAATATTCACTGAAGATCCAGCGTTCCCTGAGTATCTGAGTTGTGACTTATGCTTCAAATTAAAATGGTCATTCATATTAAGGGAAAGAGACCAAGATTAACTTCTTATGGAACATTATGTTTGTATTCTTTCCATGGGATTCCATTTGGATGCCAGATGTTTTTAAAGAATACCAAAACTATCCATTATCAAACACATTTGTCTTTCTTTCTTTGTTTTCTTTTTTTTGAGGGGGTGATGGGGTAGTATTGAACAGGTCTTGCTCTGTAGGCCCTGCTGGCCTCGTTATGTAGCCTAGATAGCCTTCAAGTTGCAACCCTCCCGCCTCAGCTTCCTGTACTTTCCTCTCCTTTTCTTTGTCCTATTTTTTAAAATGTGGAACATGTGTTTTTGCCAAAACAGCTTTCCTTAACTTCTACTGCTTAGAGATGGATGCAGGTTTCCTGACTTTCTACTGCTTAGAGATGCAGGTGTAGAGGCAGTGAGGGACGTGAAGAGAAACAGGAGTGCAAGGTAGCCTCGGGTCAGGTGGATTTGATTACCCAGGGAAACAATAACTGTCCTCGGAGGGAAGTGTGGTTATTGATGCAGTGGAGGTTGGGTAGGCCTCATTCTCCCTATACCCTGGCACATCAGATAACACAGGTCGTCTGGTAGTTACCTATCTTGAAGTGTCTTGAAGTGCTTCTTGCTGGTTTTCCAGAGCTATGAGAACTTTAAACCTCAGCTCTTCAGGTATGAAGTGGGGAAGAAACCAAGAGAACTGGTTGTGGTGTCAGTCAAGTTATCTGCTATTGACATATTCCTTAATCTCCCCAATCTCTGTTTTCTAACTTATAACATGAGGATGATAAGGTACATCCTACCTATGCTCACAAGATTGTTGTGATGATTGAATATCACTACTAGGTATGGGCTGGGCACGCTGGTGTACGCCTGCAGTCCCCGCTTCTCTGGAGGCTGAGGCAGGGAAGACTGTGAGTTCAAGGGCAGCCTGGGCGATTTACTGAGACCCCCATCACAAAGGAAAAAAAAAAGTGGTCATTCATTAATGTTTATGAGCACTTAACTATATACCAATTTTGGATGTAGATACCGTGGATACAGTAGTGAAAAAAAAATGAACCAAAGCCTTTGCCCTCTAGAACTAAAATTCTGGCACTACATAGAAAATGCTCTGAAGTCTCCAGTGGTTAGATATTGTGATTGGTTGATGGATTGATTGGACATTATGATAGAAAATCCCTCTGTCAGCTCATGGTATCACGAAAAAGCCTGACTCCTCTGGGGAGAGCTGCCCGAGAGCAGGTGAGAAGGGAGTCCTAGCTCATGTGTCTGTTTAGACATGTGCCTGCCCTTGGACAATAATTCCTGAGATAAACTCACCCGAGGCGTAAGGTAAAAGGAGAGTTCAGAGGCAGTACTAGCCTTTCTTTTACTCTGGTTGTGTCTTTTAATGTCAAGGAAGGTTTTTTTGTTGGTTTTTTGGTACTGGGGATCAGACTCAGGTCCTTGCACTTGCAAGGCAGGCGGTGGAACCACTGAGCTAAATCCCCAGCCCTGGTTGTATCGTTTAAAATAGTGTACATTGCATCCCTAATATTTCATGCTTTTCTTTTTCTTTTTCTTTGTTTTTAGTTCAGGTTGTTATAATCGCTCACCAAATTACAGCAGCCACCCCTAATTGGTTTCTCTGTCTCTAACTTTGTGCCATCTTCAATTAATTTTCTTTTCGACCTCCAAATGATCTTTTAATAATACAAATTCTACTCATATTTTCCCTGCTTAAGAACTTTTTATAGCTTGTACTTTTTAGCCGTTTGTAACTGTGAGCTATAAAACACACTTAGAAAAGTACGTAAACTGTGTAAGTATAATTATAAAGCCACCATCACCAATGCAGCCACCACCCAGGTGAAGAATAGAGCAGTCAGACCCTAGAAGACCCCTGTGTACCCTTTGTCAGGCCTCCCCGGCCCTCCCACCTCACCCTGCCCGAGGGACAATCACTGTCCTGACTTTTGTATTAATCACTTCCTTACTTTTCTAGCTTCTGATTTTAAGGACCTTGTTTTTGGGTGGTGATTAAGTGGAACCTCACTGTTCACTGACTCATGTCCTCCAGTGGAAAAATAGAGTGTTGCCCTCAGCCCCACCTAAAGGTTGAGCTGAGACACCTGCGAAATGCTTCAAGGGTGGGGTGGGTGCGGGTTGGGGCGACTGAGGCCAGATCACTCGCTTGAACGAGGTACATACTACCATCCAATTGGAGGGCTTTCCGTATGGTCAGGTCCCACGTCCCACCTCAGGCTTGCACTGTGTTCTCCTATGATTCGATATTTCTGAGGTCTGAAGTCTTCATTCTGTGACACAGGTCACCGCTAGGCTGAAAGGGAATCATCAAAAGGCATTTCTACTTCTGGGTAGCTGCCCTGTACCTCCTACCCTTTTCCCCTCCCTCAGGTCCACGGCTCAGAAGCGGCCTTCGCTTCTGCCCTGGCCAGGTATCAGTGTGCACAGCAGAATATTCACAACTGGACGTGACAGCCCTGCTGTGACAGCTGATGCCAGTGCCATGCTGATTGGGCCCTGTGCCACGACTAAATTCAATAACCTCTCAGGGCAGGCTGTTTCCTCTGTCTTCAATATCCCTTCTGTTCTTCTTTACCTAGTTAATGTTTAATAATTCTTTAGATCTCAACTTTGTGGTCACTTCATCAGAAAAGCCCTTTGTTTTCTCTCCCCGCTCCTTCTTTCCTTCTCTCCTCTCCTTTTTTTTTTTCCTTCAGCTTTAATTGAGTTTATTGGTACATTTTAGGGATACAGTACAGTTACATTCATCATTGGGATCTTGTACCTCTACCTGTCAGATCTTGGTTCTCATTTTTTCCCCTTGTCCCTGCCCTCCCTTCACCTTTTTTTTGGTTTTGTGAGACAGAGTTTCACTATGTAGTTGAGACTGACCTGAAACTCACTAGGTAGCCCAGGCTGGTCTCGAACTCACAGCAATCCTCCTGCCTCAGCCTCCAAAGTGCTGGGATTACAGGTGTGCGCCACCATGCCCAGCTCTACTGTAAGTCCTTATTAGCACCATCTGTTATTTTTCATAGCAGTTAACACAATTCCCATTTTACAGTCATTCGTGATTGTTTCATTAATGTCTGTTTTCCCAACACATTGAAGTTGAGCTTCCTATTCAGTTCTGCTTATCTCAGTATCCTCTGTCACTTGCACAACATTTGGCGTGTAGCAGACACTGAGGCACACAACTTACCTAAAGATCATTCACAGCTTATCGAATTAGAATTCAAAATAGGTTTGCGGGAGTGGGGGTGGGTACTAGGGATGGAACCCAGGGCTTTCACACTTAGCCACATCCTCAGCCTATATATATACATACATACATATATACATATATGTATATGGTTTTGATACTGGGGGTCAAACTCAGGACCTTGTGCTTGCAGGGCAGACACAGTGCCACTGAGCTAAATCCCCAGCCCATGTATTTATTTTTGAGACAGGGTCTCCCTAAGTCTCTAAGTGGCTCAGAAGGGGCTCGAACTTTTGATCCCCCTGCCTTAGCCTCTTAGAGTGCTGGGATTACAAGCATGTGCCTCCATGCCCACCTAAAATGATCTAACTTTTTTTTCATTAAGTTTATTGTTACATTTAAGATAAACAATACAGTTACATCATCACTGGGATCTTGTACCTTCACATGATGTATCTTGGTTCTTGTTTTTACCCCATTCCCTTGCCCTCCCTTTACCCTCTTCACCCTTCCCTATTTACATAAATTGATTTAATTTTTTTTTTTCTGGTACTGGGATTGAACTCAGGTCCTTGCACTTGTGAGGCAGGTGGCAGAAACTCTGAGCTAATTCCCCGGCCCAATTGATCTAATTTTTGAACTTATGCCCTTAGTATCTTTCTGCCCCTGCTTTACTGCTTCCAGTATACCCATTTATCTTAATTTTTTAAACTTTTGAAGACTGTGAAATAGCATAAATCCCAAAATCCATATTAAGCACAGATATACAAACAATTAATAATAAAACAGATGCACTGAAAGCAAGAGATAGAACAGTGCCCACACTGAAATCTCTTGGGTGTCCTTCCAAATATCAACTCATTACACACACCCCTTGCAAAATTAGAAGTAAACACTATCTTGATACATTTTTCATTGTTTTTCTGCATTGCCTTAATATCTACCTATCGTGGTACCTTGGTTCATGAATGCTTTTGTCTGCAAACTCTGTATTGGGGACAAATAGGACCGTGGCCATCTTTCCCACACAAACATAAATCTGGCCATTTTTTTCAAAACCGTAGAACAAATGAAGTTTGTGACCCAAGGCACCACGTACCTCACTAAATAATAGAGGTTATTTTTATCTTATTTTGAACTAAATGTAAATAAAATTATAATTGCTTCCTTACATGTCTTGTTCCCTTCACTCTATACATTTTTAAAAATTATTATTATTATTTTTGGAAGCAAGCTTTCACTATGTAATTCACGCTGGCCTTGAACTCACTATGTAGCCCAGACTGGCCTTGAATTTGTGATAGTCTTCCTACCTCAGCCTCCCGAGTGCTAGGATTTATTATAGCCATGTAACACCATGCCCAGCTAAATCTACATTACTTTTGAAAATTCATCAATTTTATTTCATGTAGGTGGGCCTTAGCTCTTTCTTTTTTATTAATTCTGTCAAGGGCCAGAGG